TGCTCTTTTTCCCAAACACAGAACCTTTGGTTATGGCAAAACATCTCTACTTTTGTCTCATCTTTCCAAATAGCATTGTTCCAGTAGATGTGGAGTTCGTTCAAATGTTTTATGCCCATTTATTGGTGCGCTATATGACTTACAACATCCGAGAAGCGAGGTCCGGACAATGATATGTCTGCTTGCCCCTCAGAAAGTATGAAATTGTGATTCTGGAAACAGGGATCCGGTAGGAGGCGGGTTTCTTTCTGTGGAAATCTACTGTTAAATAGCAAACATTTAACCTGGCATCTTAAAATTATATTTCCTGTTTACTACGTCCGACAGCTCCTTGCGGACATAAAGAGCGAGCGGTTGAGTCATATCTGATCACTGATGACCCCCCTCACCTTAAAAAGCATTAAGCCTGTTACCCTGTTCTGATCCTTGATCATTAATCAGCTTTTTATCAACTAGCAGGTGGATGCTGCTGCATCTTTGTGCGTAAAAACAGAAAAGAATAAAAATAAAGAAGCCAAACAACTGATTTTACAGGTGTGGACAGGTCAGGGACACATCAAGGGATTTTATTTATTTACGGTGGGTTTGACAAGTATTTTACGGAGACTGTTAGAAAGTGGGGTAACCGGGGAAGCTGAGCGTTGTTTCACTCGGCACTGCCAGGAGGGATGAGCCGCCAGATGCTTCTGCTGCTCTGTGATCCAGTAGGAAATCGGATAAAGTCAGGGAGTTTTTGGAAAGGCCAGAAAAAGGTTCAGAGCCTCATTGCAAACTTGTAAATAGATTCTGAATATCCAGATTTTATATTTTTTTTTGCTTTAAATAAATTATAAATTTCCCAAGTTTGTAAAAAGTTAATTCATAATTGTTTGCATGTTCAGTAATTAGTAAAAAAAAAAAAAAAGCAAATTAGTTTTTGTTTTTCTGGATTAAATTGAGGCACAACAGTGGTGCAGAGGGTAGCACTGTTGCTTTGGACTAAGAAGGTTCCTGGTTCATTTCCCGGCCCGGGGTCTGTCTTCTTGGAGCTAAGGCGTGGGTTCTCTCTTGGTACTCTGGCTTCGTCCCTCAGTCCTAAAGCATGACTGTTAGGTTTATTGGCTTCTCTAGATTCTTCTTTTGTTTACATGGCTTTATGTCTCTGTGTTGCCCTGTGACAGACTGGCGACCTGTCCAGGGTGTTATCCGCCTCTCGCCCATAGACTGCTGGTGATGGGTACCGGCCTCACTGCGACCCTGACGGAATAAGCAGGTGAAGATGGATGGATTAAATAGAAAATATTTGTATTATCTATTTTTGTAAGTTCTTATCTACCAGAGTGTGTTTGTATACAAAATACACCAAAGAGATATGATGGGCTTGAAAATGTACACACACAATAAAACCCCAGAGATGGGAGATCCTCACTCTCCTAAACTACTGTGGAAAACACTGAGCATGGCAGCTTTGGTAGCTTTAGCTCCAGCATAAGTCAGCGCTAACATTCGTATTGTAGCCAGAGTGCTACTTTTGTTTTAATCCTCTTGGCTTCTAAAAGTGTTCACACGTTTTCACACTTGATCTTCAACTTTCCCTTTCTCTGCCACCTTCACTGGGGGTTGTTGACTTTCTTGACTTAATTCCTGCCTTGTTTACTTATTGCACACATTCCTTATGTTCACACTGGAGTTGTCAAAAGTATCGATACTCAAAAAAGTATCGATACTGAAACGTTTTATCCGGATACAATACTCGTTTTTAAAAGTATCGATACAGTGCCACCACCAGTGGCACCTAAGCAGTCATTCATCTAAAGTGCAGAATAGAGGACAATGCACTTTCTGACACTGTGTGATTGAATAATTCTGTGCACTTTTCAGTTTCAGACTTTTTTATTTGTAAACATACAACCTCAAAATATTATTTTACTTATTGTTTATTATATTTATTTCTTGTATTTTATTTATTAATGAAAATATTTCTGTAGAATTTTGGAGTCTTTGTTTTTATCCTCGTGGTATCGAAAATGGTATCGAGTATCGAATATTTTCCTTAGTATCGGCATCGAGTTGAAAAGTTTAGTATCGTGACAACCCTAGTTCACACTATCTTTTAATGGTAAATATAAACAAAACACTTAAGTTGACTAAAAATAGAGATTAAAACAAAGTATAAAACAAAGACATGAAAAATAATAATTAATCAGAAAGCCTTTGATTGCAACCAGTGTGAACTAGGGGCTTAGAAATTGATAAAATCCCAGTACATGTCTGGGTCCTGCTAAAGCAAAGTTAGGTTGTTGTTTTGTTGGTTAAATAAAGGAGGCGCTGTTCTTTATTTTGAGCAGATAAGATCCTAACTAAGGTCTGTAGAGTGTAGGAATGAGTTATTATCTTTTAGCAGCAAACGGCTTCAGTGTGGACTGCTTCATGCAACGATGGACTTCAGTGGTTTTTGACTGAATATAAATCTGTATTGATAGGCAGCAGTGATTGGCTCTCTAAGGTCACCGCTGCTGTCTTTCATGCTCCAGTGCTTTTCTAAAACAGGTCGCTCTGCTGATGATCATTTTATCAAAAGTGTTTTATCTGGCAGCATCCTGCAGCTGCTTTCCCTCTTAAACCCTGAAGCAGAAAGGAAGAACTTTTGGATTTTAAGCTTTTTACGAATCAGTCTGTTGATCCATTTGTTTTCCTGTTGTCAGTTGAAATCCTTTTAACACAGCTACATGAATCGCTGCCCCAGGAAAAAAAAAAAACAGGTTAGTTTTTGGTGCATCTTACTGGACGGCTTCCTGAAAGCAAATCCACAATTAAACCAAGCTGCTGTGAACAAAGGCCTGCTGTTCTGAACACAGATGAAATCGGTGCTCTCTGCATGCAGCCAGCGGCTCGCTAGGTTTCACTGAGCTGCTTTTGTTTTTACAAGATTTACAGAGAGCTGATTAATTAAAGAATAACACAAGGGACAGGGAAAGGCAGGGCAGGGCTGAAGGATATTCAAAAATCTTAAGCGTTGATCATTTTTATTTTTTAATTTTTTAATTTATTTTATTGGACTTTTTATCTGCTTTTAAAAAATTCAACCTCATGTTTCACCTCTAAAGCTTTCTACATATTTTTACCTCCCAGATAAGCTTCTGCTTTTCAACAGGCAGAATCCAGTAAATGGAAAAAAAAATGTCAGATACCCATGTGTCCAATACTGGATCCCTGCAGGGCTGTGTGCTCTCAGCTCTGACATTCAGTTTTTATACTCACATCTGCTGAAGAGGTGCCAACCAGCAAACACACTTTTTTAAAGTCTCTGATTTACTAAAGACTAAAGAATTTGTTGCAGACTTTTGACATGGAGGTAACCAGCAGAAAGCCAGTGTCATTTAAAGTGAAGAAGAGCAAGATGATTCTTAGAGTTTGCTATTTGCTGCCACATTAAAGCCTTCTCACCTGTTTTTTATCTGCTAGTTTGGTTGTTTATCAGTGAGAGAATAAATCCTGAGCCACGTGTTAAAGTGGGCTCCAGAGTTATGGATGTTCCTCAAACAGATCGGGGTCACTAAAAGCAGATAAGACTTCTGCATCCGCACACATCAAATGTCGCTTGGGTCTGGTTTTGAACCAGTTTTGCTGGGATGCTTCTACACCGTCGGTCTGGAATTTTAAGGGACGCACAGCAGTTTCCCCTCAAAGCGCCAGGGGGGAGCCTATTCGAGAACTCGCTTCCTCTGTTTTCAAAAATGGCGCACCCTGGCAACGAATTGAGAAGGACGACCACACAGACAGCTGGAAAGGCATATTAAGGACCAATCACAGCTGCTTTTTGTCTGCGCACTTCCACTTGAGGTCTGTGCGGGTTTGCGACCGTCCGACGCGTAGTCAGGAATTTTTTTAGACATATTTGACGGTTGCAGTTATATTTTTTATATTTATATATTTTTTTAAACAAAGCGGAGTGTGTATGACGTCATCCACGCGCGTCGGCTACTATTCATTCTTCCTGTCCTCTGAACTGGATGGAAGATGTCTACTGCTGCTACCACAGATGATCTCACTCTCAAAATGGAATTGAACGATTCAGATTAGCTAGCTGAATGAATAGAAGGTGACTCGGGCTGCCTGTCACAACTCTAGTCTGGCACGCGCGGATGACATCATACACGCGCCACTTTGTTCTTAAAAAAATATATAAATATAAAAAAATTTAACCGCGGATGAAAGGGCCCAATGAAAAAAAAAAAACGGCGTTCCCCTTTAAAAAGACAATGGGTCAGATGATAAACTTGGATCAGAGGCATGTTTATTGACTTGTTTTAGTTCAGTGACTTCAGGCCAGCGTTCTTAGATGCCTATGTTACAAACCAATGGTATTCTAAACCGTTTATACCTTCTGCTGTTCTCAATTTGAATTGTCTTTTTTTCTATATCTGATCCAGTGTGTGTGAAAGTTGGTAGCACACACTCGTCTGCAATGAATTGCTCTTCATGGAATTTATGTTGTTCTGAATCTGACTGAAATGTTTGCATCTCATAGGAATAGAATCAGAAAAGGAATTACTCCTCCAGTCATTTCTAAATAGGTATTTTATAAATTATGATGATTTCTCTGTCAAAAAAGCGACATATTTGATATAAGATCATGATGGTGACGATGTGTTCAGATTTGCATCGTTAGCGATACATCATTTCAGCCTACATTGGCCAAAAAATCTTGATTGATTTGGTCAGAGCATCTTCTGCTGCATGTTGCTGTAAACAGCGCTTTTAGGAAAAATTATGGTCCAAACGTTGGTATGAAGGACAGGTTTCTGGGTGTCTGAAGGATACTTTAGTTGCTATGATCTTGGTGCAGGAACTATTGCAGGTCAAAGTACTGAAATGTACATAAAACAACTCCTGACTGTGACCTGATTCTTGGTTAAGGACTTTTAATCTCCCTATCAGTTTGGTTATCTGTGGCCTGGACGTTTGAGGCCGTTTCCCGTTCTCAGCAGCTTTCTGATGACCTTCTCTTCCCTCTGCAGATCTGACGTTCTCATTGGAGCGCCTCGAGCCAACACGTCGTCCTCCAGCAGTGTGGTGGAGAGGGGAGCGGTGTACAGCTGTCCCTGGAGGAGCTCCTCCAACTGCCAGCAGCTGCAGTTTGACAACACAGGTAACCAGAAGCTCCATAACACACAGCCGGGACTGCAGGCAGAGAGCGACGTGTCCTCAGCTGGCAGGCAGCTTGTAAACCCTGCTGATGTTTTCCTTAACACAGTCTTTAAAGCTGGGCTCCTCACTGCAGGAGCTGGGAGTACTGGGTTCATAGCAGCAGTGAGGAAATGTTTCTCTGTGAAGGAGATGGAATCGTAAAAAACAGCCTTACTTTGGTCTTATCAAACAGGGGTCTGTATCTAGAGTATTTCCTGTGGCAGCTTTCAGCCTTACAGTGTTAGCATGTAACTGATGGGCTAATAATGGTTCAGCTCAGCATTCTGCTGCAGCCTCATGTCAGGACACATTCAGGAATGTATTAAAAAGTAGGAATGCAGCCTCATCTGTGGAGGCAACTTTCCCTCCCAGTCTCTCCAAGTAGCAGATATTACTTTTAATTGGCTAATGTTTTCTTTTTATTGTGTTGATTGTACAAATTCAAAGTTCTAGGAGTGTAACGGAGTTTGATAGGTTCTGTTTATAGTCAGCACGGTTAAACAGGAATTATAGCCGTTCAATCTGTGATGCTGGGAAAAAACACAAGCTTCAAGGTCTTTAAAAGTGCTGATAAATATTTTGCATTTAAGGCTCCGAGTTAGATTTGAATAATCAGAGTTTAGTGTGAGTTTCTGTGACGAATAACTGATGCACCAAATAATCAGCCAGGGATCGCAGTCGGATGAGTTTATCTCGATCGCTGCTGGTTAAACCTCTTATCTGTTCATGAAATGCTTAGAAACTCAGGTCTTGCACCATCTAGTTTTACACTCTTTGATGCCACTTTTTGGGGTAATAAAGTAAATATATGTGGGTTTAATTCAAAGCTACTTTCTCTCTAAAATCAAATACTTATTTTTAATCTTATTTGGTTCAAATTTAAATCAGCTCATCTTTCCTCAAAGAAGACAGAAGACTTGTTTAGGGCAGGAGAAGCAGGATCTGTGTATATAGTACCACAGTGATGAGCTTTAAAGCCCTTATATTGAGTTTTAGTTTGTCTTGTACCGCACGTCGAAGATCTTCCTATTTAGTGTTTTTCAGCAAATTAAAATCATAAAGTCAGTCATTAAGTGAATATATTTTTACCTGCTCTGTCATAAATTATGCATGCAGCATTTATTTTATTTTCCTTTTTTTTTTTTAGCAAACAGACTGCTTCTTTTCTACAAGAATGGCATTAAGTTTACTTATAATTTCAAGGTCCTTTTTACTAATCTAGAGAAATATTAAAGCTACAGTGTGTAATTTTCAGCGACATCTAATGTTCAGACTGCAGACCGCAGCAACATGAACATCGCCCCCCCAACAGTACGGCGAGCGTTACGGAACAAAATGTCTTCCACAACGTCCGTCTCTCTCAACTTGCCGTAGTTACTTTCGAGCGTAATGGGCGATCTCGTAATCGCTAGTTTGTTGGCTCTGCGCTGCCGTAGTTCAAAGATGTCTGCCTCCATGGCTGCGAGACCCGCTCCTATGTAATTATAAATAACAAATTCTAAGGCGACGCAAATATTAAGGTTAAGAGGCTGAGCTCGTAGATGATGATAAATAACATAGTTATGTATAATACATTACATTTCTGACTGTATATCCCTGTAATTATTACACACTGTAGCTTTAAGTCGTTTTGCTGCCATGAGAACCACATCTGTGTATTTGTCTGAAAATGCTTGCCATATTTAGCAAACTTTTATAGATTCATTGAAAAAGATTTGGCTGAACATTTTGGTTTAGATTAAAAACTAATTGATCATTTTAAGAAATAGCCTAATTATTAAAAAGATTTCACTTTAAGATTTATTGATTTTTTTGTCATTTTACTCCAACTATAAATCCATATTCATCAAACATCTGTGTTTGGGCCCGGGGGCCATTTCTGCCATCCCTACATCCTTTCTTTGCTTTGGAAAGCTTTAATAGTTGTGAAATAGTTGACCTTCTTTCCTGCCTCTAATATTATCTTTAGAAGATGTAAAAAACAAACAAACAGCAAATTCCTTTAAACAGACTTTTAGAACGTCCTCTAATTTTCAGACCTTCATCTCTTAAGCTTATCAGCCCTGAGATCTTTCTGCTTATTCTTTCCTTCCTGCTGTGAGGCAGAGCATCAGATAGAGATAAACAGAGAAGTTGAAACAGATTGTAGATGTTTGTGGGAGATTAAGCCCATCCAGGTTCAAACATCTTTGTGTGGATGAGGGGAAGATGGAGAGCCTCATGTCTCAGAGTGTGGCTGTGTTGCCTCACCTTATGGTCTAGCTCTGATAATCACCTCATGATCTGTTGCAGGTATGATTTCCAAACACATTTGATCCCCAGATCAAACTGTACCGTATTTCTAAACGACTGTTGACGGAACTGCGAAACAGCTGCTTGGTGCGGCTTAAATGATCCATCTAGATCTGTTTATGGCCACGTTTGTTGTCTTCCAGGAGGAATTAGTACTAAGAAAAAACTTAAACTTCAGAGAAAACCAGCATTCAGAATTGCAATAACCAGAAGGCATAAGAAAAGAGAAACTAGCTCAGTCTTGTTTGCCTCTTAAAATGTTCCCTCAGAGGAATCTGTGAAGCAATCACCTTCTGACTTTTACATTCGCATTGGTCTTTCTATGACTGACAAATATGTTTTAACTTGTGTATCTTCATTTTCCCTCCTTGCTGTTAGAACAACTTTTAATTAAATGTAAAAAAATAAAAAATCTTTAATATTTCAATACATTTCCAGCCTTCATTTTAAACAATCTTATGGTTATGGATCCAAGTTATCCATTATAAAGGAGAGTTCTGTGTTTACACAGACTCACACATCATCAATAAAAATAATCCTAACACCATAAACAAATTCATCTAAAGTTGGTCAATCTTACCGATCAACTAACAAATAATTGATCAGTAACCATTTTATAAAAACCTTTGTTTTCTCTCATAAAAAGAGGATCTTTCCATTAACATAAGGAACTAAATATTTATATTTACAATATGCTGGATTTAAATTACATACATCATTATATTTTAACATGTTTTTTGTGTCAGCTGTATTCGATATTTACTGAATTAAAAAAGCAAAAAGTTCTCTTAAACTGTATTATACTAAACCAAACATTTAGAAAATATAACAAAACAGGAACGCATTGAGTTACTGAATTAAAAAAGATGAATAAATTATGTTAAAAAACACTTCTAACTTGTATTGTAAAATGATAACAGATAGGGTATGTCGCTCTGATATACTGTCAGACTTTACTAATTAATTTAAATGAAGTGGAGAATAACTGTTTTGTAGCTCTGTTTTTAGCGTACTCCAGAATTTAGTGCTAAGAGAGACTTGGTGCTGCAAGCAGCTGCTTTAAACCGCGGGTTAAATGTGCTCTATTTAGGTGGTTCTCCCTGCTTTACAGACAAAATCGATGGGAACTACAAGACACATCTGCAATCATCAACAATTATTGAAGATTTCCAGAGGACTTCACCATTGAAATTCACCAGAGCTATAGTGAAACTGACAATGTGCATGGCAGTTGGATGTTATAATACATTAGGTAAAAGTGGGACAAAAAAAATAGTTATTTCACCTTTCCGAAACCTGATCCTCCACGGACGCGTTCGTTATTGGATTGCCAACTTGAAGAGGGAGGATTTGCCATGAAACTTCTGGCCAGAGAAAAAACACGTAATATGTAGCCAACATTTTCAAGACGACTTGGATAATAGCGCGTTGTGACAAACACCAGATACAGCACTGGGACTTGCTCAACAGCCGATACCGCACCCTGATGTCATAAACTGGAAAGTAGCAGTAGTGTTCTTTGACAAACATGGACGCCTCCAATAAAGCACATAAAAAGAAAATTGCTCTTATTTAGAAACGCTTATCATTTATTGAACAGTATGTAATAATTTCATATTTAAAAGTTTGAATTCTGAATATGAGTGCAACTTTTCCTCTAAGGAGTTTATCTAGTTTTTATATTTACAAAAAGAACCACATAAGTCATTCTGCATCCTTATTGCCATTAAATGGTGTAAATCAACCGAAATCGCACTCTGGATCAATTTATGTTTCTACTTTACCTTGCCTCCCTTATGGAATTACTTGTCTTACAAATACTGCATGTTTCTCACCAGCATTGTTAAACATAGGTGGCCATCCATGAGTTCAAATTCAGACAGTTGTTCAGTTAGCTGCCCTTTTGACTGACATCTGGCCTCCTTCCTTTAGGGCTCTGTTTTCACCATAAAGTTGAAATTTTAATAAAAAAATGTAAAAAATACACTGAAATCACGCGGATGCACTTAGTTTAAATGAACATAACGGCCGCTGAAAATGCGTTTTAAAAAAGATACACTTACCTCCTTATTTTCACACGTTTGTAGAAAAGGCGAAATGAAAACGTGAACCTTTCAGACCGTCATCGACTCATGCACATAAAAATGCCAGTGAGGCTTCTCTTAGGAATGAACAGCAGTGGTACCATATAAACACTGAAATATAATCTTTGTGAACAGACATTATTATTAATTAATTGAAAATTTATTGTAAATCATTTGTTTCCATCCCTACTTCCGGCTCTATTGAACACATTCAGGGCTGTGATGTTTAACCGGCGTCTTTAATCAGGCTGACGTTTTACCAGAGCCAAGTTTTATGTCGTAAAATGTGTTTAGGGTTTGATTTTGTTCCGACAAGTGAAGAACATGTAAACAGATTAAATTAGAGGCAAAGACGTTGAGACTTAGAATGAGATTTTGCTTGTAAAAAGCCGTATACATCCAAGTTAAAAATCAGATTGGCTCTAAAAGTAAAGAATAGCTTTGAAAAGCTCTGTTTAAAACAGGGAAGCGTTGGAGCTGCTGGAGCACAGAGGAGGCGTTTTCAGGCCCAGAGAGAGAGAGAGACTGCTGTAAGTTGGTGGGACGGGGAGCTATTGTGTGGAGCTGAGTCTGGTTGGTATTCTGT